CATATACTGGTTCCCTCTTCATGAAAAGTATTATCAATAATAAACTGATTGTAAATATCTCAAAATAGTATGAAAAACTTTAACACATCCTCTCAATAAATGCACTTTTTGCTGGATTAAAAAGCATCCTTTTCATAGTATTCTCAGTACAATCAGTGAATTAAATTATATATAAATTATAGATATAAACTAGTAAATATTCAAACACGTAATGTTGTTTTAAATTTAGTAAATCAAATAAGATGACAGCAAATCCAATCTGAACATGTAGATTATACGAGGACTTTTGCAATGTATCAATTAAGCAGGAAAATCATTTCAAAGCAGATCTTTAAATCAATTGTGAAATCTCAAGGATTTATTTATAAGGTAGAATCAAAAATTAATTTTACAGCAACTTCTAGATAATGACATTTGCTTGCTTGAACAATTTTGCACCAAATTAAAGAAGAAAAAGTAATTAATTTATAGATTTTATAGAGTTTGGAGTAACAAAAAATAAGATTTTTTACAGATCTAGCAGAGGTACTAACGACAATCAATATCATAGGAGCAATTTTATTTTAGAGATGATATAAAATAGTAACAAAATTGATTGTTTTAAAAGCCAATTAAAATATCCAATATCAATTCTATTAATTTCTTTTTAATTGTTAATGTTTACATATGTATATATTAATAAAAAATCTATAACTTGTAGAAATTATATTTAAATCAGTCAAAAGTGAGAGTCATTTTAAACACAAGCTTGATTAAGTTAAAATTTTGCTTTAGAAAAATGTTTCTTTCTTTCTGACATAAATTTCTCAAGGTTTAACTCTGTTAAGTTCCAGTAATTCAATACCAAAGATTTAAACTTGAAAGTAATAAATTGAATATATGAATGTTGAGTCATAAATGCTAATCTTGGTGATATCTTTTCTAGTGTAAGATACTTTTGGTTTGTAATATAAAATTCAAAATATAGTAACAGAAATTCATTTATTTTAATAAAAGAAATGTATTGTGAAAAAGAGTAAGTAGAAGTTTTGTATGAGGTTTTGTCTTTATCCAATGAGGTTGATGAAGTATCCCTCCCTATCTTCTTAAACATATTAAAAAAAGAGAGAATTTAAGACTGCCTAAAATTTCTCTAGTAAGATCAAAACAAATTCCTTTTAGAAATAGAAAGTTAAAAGGTGGAAAACTAATCTCTGCTTGAGAAAGAATAGACTCTTAATGGAGAGAAGAACATTAAGATAATAACAGATGTCCTCAAAAAACTTATGGATTGGGGAGAATTTTTACTCAAATAGCATCAGAATTTTTTTTTAATTGACATTTCCAAAATTCATAACTGATAGCACCAATCACACAATAATTGACACTTATTCTTTTCCTACAACTTTAAAGTTCCTCCCACGGCTACTTTCATCAATGTAGAAGAATTTATAATTTGACCTTAGGAAAATAGTTAATCTTCTTTCAAAAAAGCATTTATTCTAGATGAAAATTAACGAAACTAAGTAAGTGATAAGTATACAACCCAAGCTGCTTAAACCACTTAAAAAACTTTTGAAACCTTAAATATTATAGTTTAAAATCAAAATTTACCATGAATTCTTTATATATTTGTTTTGCAATGATCAAACATTCAGCATTATCACAAATTTTTATAACTTTTGGTATTCTTCAAAAAAGAACTCGGGGAATCAGGATACTCAAGAATTTACTTTCTAGAGATTAATGCTTCCAAATAGCTAAATATTCTTGCTAAAATTGTAATTTTGAAGCAATTTTCATTGACAAGAAAATTACGAAAATTGCTAAGTTTAGCAACTCAAAGAGGAAATTTATATGAGATTTCAGAAGGAACTAAGTGGCTTAGAATTTTGCTTATGGAAACTACCCTAATAAAATATGGGTTGTCAATAATTTAAAAATGGATCGATTTTAATCATTTTTATTCAAGAACTCTAAGGGGCTAATTGAGAAATTAAATATAATGCCAAGAAAAAATCAAATTTGTAATGAGTATATTTAAGCAAAAACAATGCTAAAATTATCATGGTAACTTAAGTGGTAGCTCAAATAAATTAAGAATTTCAAAAAGCAGTTTAATAAGCGAAGTCATTTTAAAGAAGAAATTGATTAAAAAAAAAAGAGAACAAATATAATTAAAAATAGTATATCTTCCTTCACAATAACATTCTGCAATATCTCTTATTCTTATACTATTTCTTCAGCATAATTAATTGTTTAGTTTATTTTTGTTGATGTTGCTAATTTTCTTAAATTTTCATTACTATATATTGTTTTTAATAATATTTTAATCTATTGCTCTTTCATTTTTTATCACATTTTATTATAAGTAAACAATTTTGTTCTCCTTTTAAACCTATCGTTTAATAATAATTTTTGTAGTTGCTTATGTTCAATTATCCAAACTATACTATTTGGTAATATTGACAAAGTACGGGCTTATTGGGTTATTTTTCATACGTTTTAAAAATAATATTCAAAACAAAAATAGACATATTTTAAATTATTAATAAAATTATTATTATTAAAATGCTGCTTTTAAATCTAAAAATGGTTCATTTTTTGCTTGGCTTTTACGCTAAGAAAAAATAAAATAGAATTTTCCAAACTAGAGTATGTGATGGATGGCTGTAAAATATTAGAAAAATTATTAAGATTAATAAAATGAATCCTTTGAGTTTTTTTCACTGTAATAGAGTTTGAAGTTTAATTAAAGAGGGGGAGGATTAAGGGATATTTTATATAGTGAGACCATTATGTTAAAGGTTACTTTAATTGATTGTTAACCCTTAATCTCTATATAACCTATATAGTGATTAAAATAATTTTCGATGATTTTTATTTCTCCTATTATGAATTAGTTAACCATATCTCGAAAAGTAAATTTCTCTTATTCTTAAAGAAGCTCCTGGAAATAAGATTTTAAATTTCAAGAGAAAAGTTACTCTAATTTTATTTTTTCAAAACACAAATTAAATATATTCTTTTTATACAAATTAAGAAGAGTGTAATTTAATATTTCGAAGTAATTTATCTTCCTAATTTATCCTCTGATTGCTTGTTGACTCCTTATACAACATAAAGCAGACTTAGAACAACAAACATGAAGAAGTTCAGAATTTAAAATATACTATCATTAATTCACCTTTCTAACTGTTTAAAAAAAAATTAAAAACAATTCAAATAAAATTATATTACACAATAATTATTTGTTGAGGGATAAAATTATCATTTAACACTTTCCAAATCAGCTTCTATTTCATTAGTATCAGAATTCTAGCTATAATGTAAAGATGAGAGCTATTTGTAAAGATAAGCTTATAAGGAATACTCTAAACACACTATAAACTCAAATACTAATTTTAAGTCATTTGCCATTTCTTTCTGAATTATAAGGCTCACCCTTTGCAATTCAGGAAAAAAAGTCATTTATCATAACCAGGATATAAATGTTGGTGGACTAAGTATATAATGTGAAAATTGTTGAATTTCCATTGTATATTACAAGAAGAGGTTAAAGTTTATGATATAAACGAATTAGAATAGCGGTGGAAGTTGCTTAGGCTTAAAGTGGATACAAATGTCATTCAATTTGTAACAAGCTTTAGCTTTGAGTTAAAAAAGCAACTTAACCAACTGAGATTGTGGAGAAACTGTAAAATTAATCACAAGAGTTATAATCCAAAAAATATCCTAATTTGCAATCTCAAAACGTATGAGTTAAATAAGATTCAGAGACACAATAAGTTAATTAAAAAGCAGTATGGAAGTATGCTGTTGGCATGAATAGATGGGCAAATTTGATAGTTTTTTAATCATCAATTTATCTAACAATTCTTAACGTGGACATATTCTACAAAGCCCCAGCATTTATTAAATAGGCACTATTCGTATAACATTTAGCACACAATGAATTTATCACACTAGGTAAAATTCAAATAGCACAAATTCATAAGTGTTAGATGAAAGTTAAGTAAGGAGTTTCGTATATAGATGCTTGAAATTAATGATAAAAAGTGTGGGTGTGCGTTAACTACCTACTCCTGATTCTAAATTTCGGAAGAATTTGTGCTATCCATGCTTATAAGATGGTTCTAATAGAAATAGTAGACCTTGCTAAAAGAGCACAATTAGAACAATGACTGCCAAGGGAAAAATATACAACTTTACTTTTACATCGTTTTCATTTACATCTGTTGTTAAGAAATGCTTATGAATTAATTTAATGCAATTAAGTTATATAAGCTGAGGCAAGTACCTCAATGAGTCTGGCTATAATTGATCCAAACCAGAAACACAATTATTAAATTTATTTGAAGGATATTTAGACACACATGAAATTAAATAGAAATAGAACTATAAATATTTCTTCATTAATCATCACACAAAAGCAAACTTCATTTTGTTCATCAAAAAAAAAATCAGTATCCATACTCAATTTAACTCACAAGAAAAATTGGATAATTCATCACAACCAACATTATTGAAATATGCATTACAATAGTGTAATATCTTAATCAATACATTAACAAGTTCCCAAAGTTGTGTGTAAGTAAATGTAAATTAAAAGCACAAAAAAGGAAAGATAAATAGGATCCAGAAATGCAAGAGAAATAAGTGGCACAGTTAGAAAATGTTGAGAAATGACATGATCATCAACCTCAACCAAAAGCTGATGCGAAATGTAATAAAATTTAAGAGAAAAGAGAAACATTCCTTCTTGCGAAAAATAACAAAACGATCTTATCTGCACTGGAATGAATCTTTACAAAATTATGGTAATTACTGATAAGTTCTCAACCTGAATTTTTACCCTTCAGAACTTATAATTCAACTTATAATAGTGTACAAGAAAGGCCATTATTTCTAAATAGTGTGCTGGTTACTATGCTGAAAATCAACTTGTATCTTATTCTTTAACAAACTATTGTTTAATAGATGCAGACTAAGAGTTCTTTTTCATTTATTTAAGGATAAATATCATTGCTTAATTTACTTACACACCTTTAAAGTCTTGTGACACTTTTGAAATATTTTAACCTAACTTGGACTCATTTATAAGGGTTCTATAGTAAAATGGCATAGATGTAAGCCTTTCTTGTGAATTTATAAAATGAATCCATGAAATTATCATGAATTTTCTGATTTTTGCTTATCTTTTCAATTGTAATAAAATAAATACCAAATTTACAGCATCACTAACGCATTTGACAGTAGACTATGGTTTTAGCTGCAGTTTACACGGTATTCACCGAAGTCTTAGTTGATAGATGCATATCGAGTTAGATACAATTACATATCCTCATGCAAGCAAAAACGCAGCACAATGTTTAGTACGGATGATAAAATATCATTTCTGATATAATAAGTAAGTCAATACCTAAGTCAAGTGCTACTAGGCATATGTTTGTCTTTTATCATTCGTTTCGATTCGCTAACACCAAATCAAAAGATTACATGAAGTACACTACAAGAAAAAAGTGTACAAGCTATGAAGACTTGACTAAATCTAAAGCATCTCAAACAATAGCCCTCAATACGCCCAGTGTGATTTGAAATAAGGATATTTGCATGAGATGCAATATTTTGCATTTGTTTTCAATAACCAGTTAGCTCTACACTGAACACCAAGAAATATTAGATCTTAAATTCTAAGACTAAAGCATGCGGCTTCAAGACAAAATAGCACTTCAAGTATATGTTAAAAACACTCATAATTTTTCAAGAACAGGCCACGCTGATAAAAAGGATAATACATAATGAAAAATATCAAAAATTAATTTCAGGAATTGCTCAATCAATATAATGGCAACTTTAAAGTTTATAAGATAATCTCATTTTATCAACACTTGGATTTATGATAATGATCTAATGTACATAAATGCATTAGAAATGATAAGTTACACAAGATTCCCATTAACTTGAGTAAAGTGTGAAAGAATGATGGTCTTTTACTACTTAAAATCCAGTAAAAAATCAGTTGAGTGGGAAGCATCACTCTAGCACCGTTTATTTGCACATGATTAAATCTAGCCGATATAGCATTAACATATAACAAGAATCCAAATACAAATAGTATGCATTAACTAAATAACAAATCTGTAAGTATAGTCTAATAGTTAATATCACATGCAGAGTTGCTTTAGTTGTGAAGAAAATATTTAGTATCAAATTAAAATTTGGTTCGGTTGATTTGCAATTAATACAATGTAGTTCGGGCAGAATGTCACGAATACAACAGCTGCTGTGAAGATGCTATGCAAATTTTAACAATTTATTTCATGCTTAGTATAAGCCCAAAAGCGAAACTATCACAAGATGTTTTACTTTTATGATATGTGCAAATTAATGGAAGGACAAGATAAAAATATGGCGCAACGTTCTTTGTATGATGAGATAATTTTCAATACAAAAATGCTTATCTATAATACTTACGCTTATTTCTTACAAATGCAAGCTCTTAACATGGAGAAACTGATATGTATGTCGAAGTTAACCTGGTAATTTTGCTTTATAGATAAGATACACATAGCTGACTCAAAATTTTATAATAGGAATTAGAATGATTTTGGGAAATATTTGGCTAACGGTATATATTTAGATATTGTTCTAATCACTATTGTTTCGCAGAACTAAAAGGCAGCATTAATTTGTATGCAATAAAAACTTATGTAAGTGAAATGTTTCAACAAATAGTATATCGATATATAGTGTGAATCACTCTACAATAATAGAGCAACTGCTAGTGATTCATAGACTAAATCAGGTGAACATGAAGCCATCAAAGAAAATTATTCTACGCATTTAACTTCTTGTTAACGATGGTTTGAGCAGCGAAGTAGATTGTAGGAAATATCCATCAATATCATTTTAATTATGTTTCTTGCATAAGAATTAAATCACAGACAGTTAGAAGCAACCACAAAACATAGAGTATGATAGCTGCTCAAGAATCAGTAAATTAATAGCAGAGAGGTGTGGAAAGTTACTGAATGTTTGCATGATACACTCAATAACAAAGTTTCCACTTGATTATTTCAGGCGATGTCGAAACATTCATCATGAGCAACAGGTATATCGTATTAAAATTGCCATATCAACAAGTTTCTGTAACAAATTTTTTGCAGAATCAACAAATGTTAAACAAATTTTAGAGTCATGCAATTGAAGGCAATATCAAAGGTGAGACGACAACGAGAAGGAAGGAATTGAGTTTATCTTCATCAGTATGGGATACCGCAAAGAGTGATGTGTTGTTTAATTAGCTTATTAATAATTAAAATGTATTAATAATGTTATCTAGAGAAAACCTAGTATTTTTAGAACACTTTTGTAAATGGTTTAGCTTCTTATTTTTAGTTCCCTTAATGTTACATTGCATAAAAAAGAAGTATTGATCTTTTTGAATAAGAGAATTGAAGAATCACAATGTAATATACATTTCTTAATGTAGAGATAGTGTCTTCCATGCTGTTTATGTATTTAAATATTAAATACCTTGCATAATATTAACATCCAGTGCCCAAAGTGAAATTGTATAATCACAATTAGCATAGGTGATGTGTAAATATTAATGCATATGTTGTAACAAATTGTTGTAGAAAACATAAGTCTTCACAACTTAAGTATGAATTTGATACCGTCTTACATTAAGGCAAAGCTTCCTTACTAACTGGAAAATATAGCCCTAAATATATGCTGTGCATATATGGTAAAGGTGAGTAAAGAGCGATATTGTTTGGAATTATCAAATAGATAACAAAATCACTTGAAGGACTACAATATTAACCACAAATATTGTGCCCAAAATATTTTTGTAGTATTGGATTAATACAATCGTTTGAACAATGATACTTTACTATAGCTACTCTTGTTGTTTTGCTATCCCTGTGATCAGAAATAGATGATCGATAGGCTTCAGCATAATCACCAGAATATGGTGAATATGTGGTAGTATTTCTGTATAATCTTTTTCAAAAATGTTAGCACTTGAAGTTGACAGGAAAACCAATAAAATAAAAATCTAATCTCTCATCAATACTATTGAGTTAGATTTAAGTTAAAGTTTTACATATATTTGTGCTGCCTACATCTGAATTTACATTAGTTAGCTACTTGCGTTTCAGATTGGAAATACTAGTAAGATAAGAGCATAAAATACCTAATCTGTAATATCAAAGAAGTACACCATTTGCGATTAACGCTTAACAATAATTAAACTGGGTATAATCATCTCCAAAAGAAAACCTTATCAACTTTTGGCTAAAATCTTCGAAGTTAAACAGACAGTCTCATAAAAAGAAGGGCTAAATCAAAGAAGTATTTAAAAAATGTCAACACACATTTCAAGAAGTTTGAAATGTAGTTGACTAAGTTGATTTCTACTTATTATTAGAGGCTGTCTTTAGTACAAGAGTGTGAGTATTTGCATCACAATCACATATGAATTGAGATAGCTTACGTTATTATAACAATATAGATATATATTTATTAAGATTAGTAGTGTATTATAGCATTCATCAATCTATCAGCATCATCAAACATGNATATCGTATTAAAATTGCCATATCAACAAGTTTCTGTAACAAATTTTTTGCAGAATCAACAAATGTTAAACAAATTTTAGAGTCATGCAATTGAAGGCAATATCAAAGGTGAGACGACAACGAGAAGGAAGGAATTGAGTTTATCTTCATCAGTATGGGATACCGCAAAGAGTGATGTGTTGTTTAATTAGCTTATTAATAATTAAAATGTATTAATAATGTTATCTAGAGAAAACCTAGTATTTTTAGAACACTTTTGTAAATGGTTTAGCTTCTTATTTTTAGTTCCCTTAATGTTACATTGCATAAAAAAGAAGTATTGATCTTTTTGAATAAGAGAATTGAAGAATCACAATGTAATATACATTTCTTAATGTAGAGATAGTGTCTTCCATGCTGTTTATGTATTTAAATATTAAATACCTTGCATAATATTAACATCCAGTGCCCAAAGTGAAATTGTATAATCACAATTAGCATAGGTGATGTGTAGTTGTACTATAGGTATGGTTACTATAAATATTAATGCATATGTTGTAACAAATTGTTGTAGAAAACATAAGTCTTCACAACTTAAGTATGAATTTGATACCGTCTTACATTAAGGCAAAGCTTCCTTACTAACTGGAAAATATAGCCCTAAATATATGCTGTGCATATATGGTAAAGGTGAGTAAAGAGCGATATTGTTTGGAATTATCAAATAGATAACAAAATCACTTGAAGGACTACAATATTAACCACAAATATTGTGCCCAAAATATTTTTGTAGTATTGGATTAATACAATCGTTTGAACAATGATACTTTACTATAGCTACTCTTGTTGTTTTGCTATCCCTGTGATCAGAAATAGATGATCGATAGGCTTCAGCATAATCACCAGAATATGGTGAATATGTGGTAGTATTTCTGTATAATCTTTTTCAAAAATGTTAGCACTTGAAGTTGACAGGAAAACCAATAAAATAAAAATCTAATCTCTCATCAATACTATTGAGTTAGATTTAAGTTAAAGTTTTACATATATTTGTGCTGCCTACATCTGAATTTACATTAGTTAGCTACTTGCGTTTCAGATTGGAAATACTAGTAAGATAAGAGCATAAAATACCTAATCTGTAATATCAAAGAAGTACACCATTTGCGATTAACGCTTAACAATAATTAAACTGGGTATAATCATCTCCAAAAGAAAACCTTATCAACTTTTGGCTAAAATCTTCGAAGTTAAACAGACAGTCTCATAAAAAGAAGGGCTAAATCAAAGAAGTATTTAAAAAATGTCAACACACATTTCAAGAAGTTTGAAATGTAGTTGACTAAGTTGATTTCTACTTATTATTAGAGGCTGTCTTTAGTACAAGAGTGTGAGTATTTGCATCACAATCACATATGAATTGAGATAGCTTACGTTATTATAACAATATAGATATATATTTATTAAGATTAGTAGTGTATTATAGCATTCATCAATCTATCAGCATCATCAAACATGATTGTTGGATAAAAATTTAATACACAGCTATGGCATAAAGGAATCCATCCCTACTGCTTGAGCAACTTCAAAGGAAGTATCTATGAGTTACAAGTATTTCCATTTTAATCCTAATTAACGGTTATTCCAGAAGCGGTTCAACCAAGAACATATTTATTTTAGCCTTCATATTGAGTCGATAAAGTAAAGATTATAGCAAGAAGTTTACACTAATAATTTTACAATTAAAGCTGATTGGTGAGTTTATCAAGGTTGATAACTATAATACATGAAAGGTTATCTCTTGATAGAGTGAAACACTTTTTAGAAGCATATGTTGTACTTTGAAATAACACCTAAGAATAAACATGATTAATAACCTGCAATTCTTTTCTAATTGAAATGGTTTGGTTTAGACAATATTTACTAGTAAATTTATAGTATTATTATTCCAACACCTTAACTCTCTATGCTATGCTTATATGCATCCGATGATCAACAGTAATTTCATTTATTGGTTGATCAAAAATATATATTGATGAGTAACATCTAATCATATTTCTTTTCTCCATTAATTGTATCATCTTACATCAATACTAATGAGGATGAAAATTTATGCAATTGCAATGTTTACATCCTGTACTGCTAGTCTTGACATTCTTTTCACAATTTGCCATAGCAATTAAATATTTATGCAGCACTTCGAAAAGTAGCTTCATATGTTGGATTCTTTTGATGTTTTGGATATTTAACTACAATGTATTTAAAAATTTGTAGGGGCTCATATAGATTTTATTACAAAGGCTTTCATTTGATTTAACCAAACTATCTCAATTATTATATGATTTTCAGGCAACAATTATTATGAAATTTAATAAATTTTGAATTAAGTATTAAAACCTGTAATAATTATACTTTTATTCATATATATATTTACTTGCTCTTGGTTGAAAGCTTTGTTAGTCAAGTNGTTAGCTACTTGCGTTTCAGATTGGAAATACTAGTAAGATAAGAGCATAAAATACCTAATCTGTAATATCAAAGAAGTACACCATTTGCGATTAACGCTTAACAATAATTAAACTGGGTATAATCATCTCCAAAAGAAAACCTTATCAACTTTTGGCTAAAATCTTCGAAGTTAAACAGACAGTCTCATAAAAAGAAGGGCTAAATCAAAGAAGTATTTAAAAAATGTCAACACACATTTCAAGAAGTTTGAAATGTAGTTGACTAAGTTGATTTCTACTTATTATTAGAGGCTGTCTTTAGTACAAGAGTGTGAGTATTTGCATCACAATCACATATGAATTGAGATAGCTTACGTTATTATAACAATATAGATATATATTTATTAAGATTAGTAGTGTATTATAGCATTCATCAATCTATCAGCATCATCAAACATGATTGTTGGATAAAAATTTAATACACAGCTATGGCATAAAGGAATCCATCCCTACTGCTTGAGCAACTTCAAAGGAAGTATCTATGAGTTACAAGTATTTCCATTTTAATCCTAATTAACGGTTATTCCAGAAGCGGTTCAACCAAGAACATATTTATTTTAGCCTTCATATTGAGTCGATAAAGTAAAGATTATAGCAAGAAGTTTACACTAATAATTTTACAATTAAAGCTGATTGGTGAGTTTATCAAGGTTGATAACTATAATACATGAAAGGTTATCTCTTGATAGAGTGAAACACTTTTTAGAAGCATATGTTGTACTTTGAAATAACACCTAAGAATAAACATGATTAATAACCTGCAATTCTTTTCTAATTGAAATGGTTTGGTTTAGACAATATTTACTAGTAAATTTATAGTATTATTATTCCAACACCTTAACTCTCTATGCTATGCTTATATGCATCCGATGATCAACAGTAATTTCATTTATTGGTTGATCAAAAATATATATTGATGAGTAACATCTAATCATATTTCTTTTCTCCATTAATTGTATCATCTTACATCAATACTAATGAGGATGAAAATTTATGCAATTGCAATGTTTACATCCTGTACTGCTAGTCTTGACATTCTTTTCACAATTTGCCATAGCAATTAAATATTTATGCAGCACTTCGAAAAGTAGCTTCATATGTTGGATTCTTTTGATGTTTTGGATATTTAACTACAATGTATTTAAAAATTTGTAGGGGCTCATATAGATTTTATTACAAAGGCTTTCATTTGATTTAACCAAACTATCTCAATTATTATATGATTTTCAGGCAACAATTATTATGAAATTTAATAAATTTTGAATTAAGTATTAAAACCTGTAATAATTATACTTTTATTCATATATATATTTACTTGCTCTTGGTTGAAAGCTTTGTTAGTCAAGTAATGATGGGTATTGAACTTGAATATTGAAACATACTTAACAGAGAGTGAGTCTAACCACCATGTTACGCTGTCCATATTCTAGGCTGATCCTAAGAAACGAGATGAATAATTTTTAATAGTTCATAATAAACCCCATTTACAGAGGACGCATACTTAAATAAATGTATCCAGTTAAACAGTTAATTGTAGAATCAAATAACGCATAATGAGAACCCCCCTTAACTATTATAAAACACCAGGTTAAATGGAAAAAATTAATTAATACAGAATAATGGAGACAGTATCAGGTAGGTATTGATGGAACAATAGGGATGGGCTGGTCTTATTAATCAATTGTATTTAATTGACTTCAACATTACTATTGTCAAAAACATACTGCTCATTTATTATAGGGACAGAATATATATATTACAGAAACTGAAATTCAGATTGCAATTTCTATTTGAAAGTTTCATAATCAAAGCAAGACACAATTTCAAGTTTTGGTGATGTATATATAAGTTAAGCGTTATGAGTTTAACTTTATCAAGATTGATTGTTAAGCGATACAGAAAAGTGAGGCCTAAAAATTACAAAATTGATTTTAATTATATGTAGTTTTAAATATTACTGAGTCACTGTTTTAGTTAGAATCAAATTAGTTCGACGTCTATCTCTGATAAATTGGTGTGATATTCGGACTTTGAATTGAAGGAAAAATTAGTCAAGTTAAATGAGATAATATTTGTGGTAAATTACACCAAAACACATTCATTATAGTTTAACATGAAAAAATACCGAATTTATGTAGATTGGATGTTTAAGGAGTAATAAAATTTGATTAGCTAGATATCAGTATACTCTTGAAGTAATATTAAAGAATGAGCAACAAAAATTTGTCTAATTGATGCTAAATAATCTTATTCTTTTACAGGGAACTAGAAGGTCCAAATATGCACTCCTATAGTTATTTTTGAGAAAATATTGAGTCTATCGGAGAAGTTAAGTGGCTGATAGTCAATAAGTATCTTTTGCCTAATATGTGATGATGGTATCATTTAGGGTAAATGAAAATGATATTGTTTTGTACATTATGGATGATCAAAGGGAACAGTAGAAAAAAATAAAGTAATATCTATAAGAATATGCCTATATGCTAGAAGAAGATGTTTTAGAAGAATCATAAAATATATTCTACTTAGAGAAGTTAAAAGAATAAATAAGTAAGGAGATATTGGAAGGACTAATAATAATATGCTTCAAGATTAATAATTAATTGTTAGAACTTTACTTGAATGAAATGAAGCCTTTTAATAATTATAATATTCTTTATTGATCTAAACCAAATATTAAAAATTTAATTATTCAAAGCTTAAAAATCTAATGGAATAGTGTAAAACAGATAATCATGTCATAAATTTTGTGATCATATCCAATTTTTTGAAAAACAAAAAAATAATAATTTTTATGAGAATGAATCAAACAGAGATACTTGTGATTTCCTTAATATTGATTATTTTTTAAAGTTTTATTTAATAAAACCCGTAAACAAATTTGTTTTTACTATTCATACATTTGTTTTTAATTAAATTGTTTCCTAAGTAAGAATTTCTTCTTCTTATACATTTAATTTTTAGGTAGTAAAATTAGAATTAACTAAATCATAATTTATTAAAACTCTTTTAATAATATGGGCAATAGATTTATTCTAACTCAAAACGTTTTTGTATAATTATTTGATCAATAATATTTGAATTTTAGTAAATATAACAAAATAAAAACAAACTTTAAGCAATAAAATTTCAATATTTAATCATTTGCCTTGAGAAATCAAAGCAAAGCGAATAAGGTCAATACATTTATTTTCTGTTTCAAAGTAATTAAATATTGCCAAAGCCTAAAATCTTTATTATTAAATACATCTAAGAATTAAGTAACACCATCTAGTTACCCTATGGCACTGGCTAAAATAACATCATCCAAAATCTTAATTGATTCTAATTTTGTACGTCCTAAAACAATTTACCTTTGATTACGTTTTCCAACAGATTAATAGATAAAATTAGCTAAATGAGTTTTTATTGATTTTATCAGGTTAGAGTGAAAGTAATCAAATATTTTAATTAGTTGCTTTTCCTAATTAATTAAACCTTAAACCAAAAATTTTATTTCTACTATGTCAAATTGTTATAAACTTATTATTTCCTCAACACATATTAAATATTGACTATAAAGCCAACGGTTGTGAACACCTTAATAATAAAAAAATAATCCTTTTAATGGATGCTATCTTATGTCAAACCACTCTTTTAGACATACTTCTGTATCTTCAATTAAACTTTAAGCCTAGTGTTTTTAATTTAGAAATTAAAACGATTAACACTGAATAAGGTACATAAGAGAAACATAGGGATGAACAAGTTTTTTATCCTTTGACTGAAGTTTAATATATCCGTCAATTCCTTTTTAACAGCATTACAGGATCCAGGTATTCAATAACTTCTGATTTATTCCATTTTTTGTTCCAAGTAGAATATTCAGTTGAAAATCTAAAATTTTTAACTTTTAATCAATCTCAGTGATTTCTGATATCAAATTGAATTTTAGTGCATAGTATGCGGATTGCTTCATTTCTTCATTGACAATTTTTAATTTTTATATCTCTATATAATTGGAATGGTCAGTAAAACAATTTTCAATTTGTATCTAATCATTTTAATTTAATAAATAAGAAAAATAAGTTGCATATATCATTTACAAGTAATTTATATGAATTTTATTCTATAACTCTAGTTATAACTCAAAGAGCAAATTAAATTTTGGCAAATCTTTTTCAATATTAATTAGGATTCTTATATGGTTTAAAATTGCTTCATTAACGAAATCCTTATTAAACAAGTGAATATAATCAACATCATGACTCTCATTAATTAGTTATTCATATACCTAGAACTAAAAATTTTAGAGAGTGGTGTTAATAGGATATTCTTAAACCTAAATTAAGTCGTTTAATTTACTATTTCATTGTTGGCAATTGAAATAATTGTTCTTTATTACTTTAAACAAGCATCAATATAAGACAAAGTTTTATTAGAATATTTTAAAGCATTTTCATAATCTATTAAATTAAGATGGAATCTACATTTTAGCTGCGCGAGAAGAGCATACATAAGAGTAGTTTCCTTATATTCACATAATCTTGTTCTAACTATTAAAATTTATGTTACATATATTATTTTTTTGGTTCAATATTTCCCATCATTGCATTGACAACATCTAAAAAGGATTCAAATAGATGCATCAATCTACTAAGTTGTGTTTAATTTTATAAGATACTCAAAGTTTCGACCAATATTTCAGAAATTAAATGGTAATCTTAATTTATCATTAAATTAAATAGCAAATATTAACAATTGAACTTAATATCTTCAAAATATAGAAAATTAGGAGTATATTCATACAAATACTTTGAAGGGAGTGGCAGGCAATTGCTTTTATTCTTATATACATTCTCTAAAATCTGAAGGTCTTAATCAAAACCACTATGAATTTTATGAAATATAAATGCTTAAGAATTAAGTAATCTTTACGAGAATTAGTAAATTAAATCAAACATATCAAATTACTAAAAATATATATACGAATGAAGCAAGGCCAAAACTATGATTGAGCATTCGAAATCTCGGTTAAGATATTATCTTATCTGCATATATGATTATTTTAAGTTTGAATGAGATATGATACTACAATTAAGGAATTGACAGAATAATTAATATTGTTGTTATTGTGATAAACTAATATCAAATTGAAGTTCTTGGATCTATTAATTATTTATTTATATGCATTTTAAAGATTAACAGTAAAATTTTGGATTTGATGCTAATTGACTTATCTAATTAATTGCATTTTCTAATTATTGAGTTTTTTGTAAATTCAAATTTTCAATAAGTTTTGGTGAATATGCAAAACAAATTGAAAGGTAGTAGAATATTTATAACTCACTCAGGTTTTGATGGAAAAACCAAGAATCATTTTGAGGTTAAAATTATGAATGGAAGTCCTATAATAATTTAATAAATGAAAATTATTTCATCAAATGAATATTCTATTTACTGAACTAACATTTAATATTATGAGGTGTTGGTTAAAATTCATCAAGATGTAAGATTTACTGTATAGATTTAATTTAGCAAAGTCTTTGAAAAGAGTTTATCTAAACTTAGTCACATTGAGCTAGTAATATTTTTCTGTTCTCTAAAGTAGGATTTAAATTTGAAATTGCAATTATTTACAATTTCATAAAATCATCATCATCTGATTCAATTAAGTTAACAAATTTTTTTCTATTTATTTCATTCCATTTCATTTCTCTAATTTTTAAGTATTTTCCAACTTCACAATTCTCATTTGTGTGTGTTGAAAATAAAGATTGGTTATCTTTGCTCAATAAAATTAATTAATTTTTATAAAAATTAAATAAATCTGTGTTTGCTCCCTCTAATGCTACGAATTCTTTATAATGATTTTATTCTTATTCGTTTTTTTAATCAAAATTAATTATTAGTTGTAAAAATTTATAATAGAGTAATTAGGAATAATAAAGCTAATTCTCTTCAGTTAATAATTAATTTGGAGACTCTTAACCATAATTCTCTAATATTTCATCATCTAAAGGTGATGTTTATTCAAAGTTTATCAAGGCTGTACTGCAATCTAAAGGTATGTCTAATAATAAAGGTCTTGGTTCAGGAAAAACTATAGTTTGTTAATTTTAGATTATTTCTTAGAATTGAATATCAGCAAGTTTATAATTTTAATGAAAGTATGTTTAAATAGCCCTTAGTGCTTAGAATTAGTTTAAATATCTTTATATTTGAGTTTGGTATTGAATTATTATTGGAATATAATCTTTATTTTTTCTTAATGTATTTATTAAATTTAATCTATCAAAAGAACTTATAGATGACGCCTAATTGTTGTTTTATTTTATTTTTCGTTTTAATATAATACTTTATTCTATGTCTGATAGATTTTCTAATTTGATATTCAAATTCAACTATCGAAATATGATTCTGAGTTGAATTTTACATCGTTTTAATGCCTCTATCAACTTACAATTCTCTAAATTTATCTCCAGTCTTAAAGCAAACAAAGTAGATATCTTAAAATAATATATTAATAATATATCTAGAATTTTCTTAATTTCATTTGATTTTAAAAGGTAAGAATGCAGATTTTTGGAAAAATAATTGATAAAGCAGAGAAGTAGATTAGAGTCATTTTAAAATGAATTAATTTTCATATAATTCTCAACCTCTTGTATAAGATCTAATGCTGTTTTAAATTGTTTAATTCTAAAATGGAAATTTATTTAATGCTTCATTAGTTCCATATATTATTGATAATTAATTTCTTTTTTTTATTAAGTCTAATATTTCTATTCAAGGATAAATTATGATTTAAAATTATTTACTTTTTCTATCAAACTGTAATAGTCTAATTCTACAAAACGTTATTAAACAGAAATCATCTCAATTATTTAGGTAGGAGATTTGTGTTATAGCATAATTTCAGATAACAAATACTACATTGGATTATCCATAGTATTTATTGCATTTTGTAAATCCTCAATAGGTTTGAGTAATATCATTTCAGCTATCATTTAAACTAATTACTAGATAGAGTTTGTTTCCTAAGTAACTGAATTAAGCACCATATATTCATTCTAAACTAAAATATAATTATAAATAGAAATATTGGCTATTTTATGCTTCTGCAATAAAATTAAATTTGAATACAAAAACTACTTTAATTCTTCAACAGTGTAATGGAGTGAGTGCTTTCTTCGAAAAGAAATTACTTAATATAAGCTTTTAGAATTTGAACAAGAGTATAAGGAAACACAATATCCCTTTATTAAGAAATCATCTATTTAATCAACAATATTTAATAATCTAATATAATTCTTACTTTATCCTAAAAATACACCATAACCACTATTGTAAAATTTTTAAAATTATAAATTTTAACCATGCCGAACTTGGAAAAATTGCATTAAATATTCTTTTTCATCAATTTATACTTACCATAAAATATCATGAATATGTTTTTTAATTTTAATATTTGGGATCGGATTAATTTCATCAATAAAATATTGTAATGAATATTCTTCTAATTTTGTAGTATATTGTTCAAATATATAGGTATCTTTAGATTTATCAATTACATTTTTGTAGATATCTGACTTTAGACTTTAAAGGTGATAAATTTTATTATTTAATCTTCCATTTGTAGATTGAAATATGTAAGATGATTTTTGCCTAAATAAATATCAAT